GCCAATGGGAGTGCAAGGCAGGTGGCGGGGGCACCCGGAGGGGCGGCAGGACGCGGGGCAGCACCTGTGACACTGGGCTGCCGCGCTGCGCGCAGTGGGGCGAGGCGCCGGGGCGTCCTGCGAGCTGCTCGCGGGAGTGCAGGGGCTGCGCGGGCAGAGGCAGGGTTTGCCCCTTCAGATTTCCTAAATCAGAGAGGTGGAGCAGGAGCTCCCCCGGCTCCATCCCCTCCTTTGAAGGGCGCCACAGGTTTCCTAAAGAAACTAGACCCACTCGACAAAGCACCGTGTTACTGCCCTGTACACCCTCATGCCTCCCAAGGGCGCATCACAAGCCGCGACAACCGCCTGCCCCGCCCAGGACGCTGTTTCTGTTTCCTTCGCACTCTCCTCTTGTGTGCTTCTGTCTCAGATGTGGGGACTCTCTGTCCCCACAAACTAACCGCATTGTCATGAGTACATGGGTGGCCCCCCGCTGTGCATGTATGTTTGTGACAGATCTTAGAGTCGGCTTCCTCCGCAGCTGCCCTCTCACCCCCCACCTAGCATACCTAAGGTACATTTATGACACCTTCATCATATGTACATGAGAAGGAATTTGAGGGAAATCCCCCATGACTGTGACAACTCCCACCTGGCCACCCAATGGACCATGTCATCCTCCTCCCAGCAAATTCATTTCTTAAACAGCACTGTGAAAGTTTGCAATGGCCATATCACCCAGAGCTGCATTAAGTTGTACTGGGGCTCTAGACAAACACAAAATTGGAGGCCTCCTCTAGAGGTGCACCAATATATTAGTTGCGTATTGGATCAGCTATCATCTTTTTTGGCCACTGTAGCTGATAATATCACTGATAAATACAGATCCTGGTTTTCTCTGATAAAAAAAATCCCCAATTTTTGGTTTAAAAAAGGACCCCAAAAGCCACATATTTCCGTGATTAAAATGAAAAACGACGATAGATAGATAGATAGATAGATAGATAACATGAAGCCAAACCCTAGCTGTGTTTAAACACTAAAAACTTCAAAACAGTATCTATACATTAAGTTACTGGGGCAAATAGTTTTTTTCTATACATAAAGGAGCAGAGCTATATGGTATCTAATGTGGCTCAAAACTACATACATTTAATCTGGATTTTACAAACACCCATACATGTGCTTACAGATAGATAGATAGATATGTGACGGGCTAACTGGCAGTGACCTAGCCCAGGGGTTTTGAAAGGGCAAAAGATGATTGGAGGACTTGGGATTCCCTTTCCTCACCAATCAGGCCCCAGAGATTCACCCCTCATGCCCCCTGATTGGCCCCTTGGGTCACCGGCAGGGGGATAAAAGGGGCAGCACCCCCTGATTCAGGGGAGGAACTATGAGGAAGGAGTTTCAAAGATTTGAGTTCAAGTCCCAGCTTTGGTGTCTTGGGCTGAGTGAGCTAGCAAAGAGAAAATTGCTCTTGCAGTAGAAAGGAGCCATTGTGTTTTCCACCTTTCTACCCCTCCAGGTACCTAGGATCTATATTTCTTTGTCTTTTGATGTTCTGTATTTGGTGCCTTTTTTATATTTCCCCAACCAGTATT